TAACCAAGTAACTCCATGGATCCACATTTCCAGGTTAAAACCCTGTATTCAAAGCTCACCAACGGATCCCGCGGAGCCCGCAAGTGAGCCAGAAGTTCAGGAAACTCACTGACCTAGCTTCTAATCTTCAGGCTGCCGTCTACCCCAACCCTTTTCCTCTCTTATCCAAAACCCGCTTCTTACCTGGACCTCTCACTGTTATACTCATAGCCTGTCTCTTTCTGCCCTGTCCAAGTTGGAAAAATCTCTAACCAAGCTTCTAACCAGCTTTTGCTTAGAAACTACCAGCTACTGGCCACAGAAGACCCCCTCCTGCTCTTCAACGGAACGGTTGACGCGCTGTTAGGAGATGGATCTACACCACCGATGGTCTCTGTTCCTGGGTGCCTTGGCTGCAGACGCATGGATGCTCTCCCCTGCTCCTTTGGGGCCTAATAAAGGGCTTCCTATCCCTGCTAATTCCTCCTCCCCACAATGCCTCCTATCCCCCCTAATTCCTCCTCCCCACAACGCCCCTCTCCAGCAGGAAGTAGCTCGATGACTTCAACGACCCTGTCCCCGCAATAGAGGAAAAAGGGAGGAATGTGGGGATCCCATAGGCACCTGACAGGAGACACTCCCTAGCAATATGGCACCCTTCTGGGTTCTTCTCTGCTGTAAGCGATCCCGCCGGCGCCAGAATCCAACCTGTCACAAATTGGGACACCCCCCCCGCCCCCGTCCAATCCTGTCCAATCAGCTACGGCTCCGTCCACTTCCTACCCAGTCCCAGAACGCGGCTCTCTATAAATAGATGCGCAGTCTTTAAGTAAACTGAACTTCTCTGGTGAACCCTCAGACCGGGTCTCGCTGCCTTTCTTTCACTGATCCACAGGGGAGGAGAAAGGGGAAGGCTATTATGGTCAGCCCTGCACAGTGGGCACTGGATCCCTGGGTTGGCTGAATCTGCAGTCAAATTTGTGGACACCAGCTCCTCGGATGGCTTATGCACTGACCATCCTGAGGTGCAGTAACAGCTAGATGGATCATTCTTAAGCCACCTGCATTATCCTAGGTTTCCCATGGCCTGGAAACCCTTGCGATGAGGGTTTTTTCCTACAGTTCTTACTCCACCTTGAAAGAAGCAAAAGCAGCACACTGTGCTCATTAGCATTCTTCTCTCCTCCCCACCCATCCCATCTTCTTGGCTGTCCATCATGCAAAGGAGCCAGGTTCCAAGTGGAGCAGTGATGCACACATAGGGCAGGGCTGCCCTCTGGTGGCCAAGATGAGCAGCCACTGTCACTTAAGCACAGGGCCACATTTTTATCCCAAACCCTTCCAGATGATTTTGGAATTCAGAATTTCTTCGGCTTTTATGAAGTAGACAGGGCAAATACCATACTCTATAATCCCTACCAGGGGGACATCTCACAAAATAGATTAACATTTCTGCAACAAATATTCACAGTAAGGGATACACAATGACTACCAATAGCTTCACATCAGTGTAGGTTCAGATCAGATTTTGGTGTCAAATGAGTTATGAAAATATTTTTCGTTTTCAGACCATTGAAACTTTGGAAATGAGGACCTCTAGTTTCCTCTACTAGAGGGAACAGCCTCAGGAGCCATGTCTCAGCAACTCCATGGAAACACAAATTTCTTTGTTCTTAAAATTGCATTCTACCTTTGTCTTCCTTCCCCAAAAGAAAACTGGACAAAAAGGTCAGAATGAGAATTTGTTATTCATACATTTGCATTGATTTAAATACATTAAATACAATTTCTACAGTGCATTAGAAGAACAATACAGGGGGCAGCAGCACTCTCACAGCCCAGCCTCTACTCCCTGACGTTAGGGGACAGGGCCTATGGCTGGTACAGGGACGGGCCATTCGTGCCACCCAGAAGCCTGCCATGGCACTCTGGGCCCCTGGCTCTCCCAAAGTCCGATTCAAGGCAACCTGAGTACAGGCTTCAAGGGAGAGTGGAGACAGGCCAGAAAAGGATGCCCCGCACTCTTGTGCCTGCCAGACACGGGACGGGCTCCCTCTTACATTGGACCCAATTTCATTCTGATCACAGAGCTGGTCTGAATCAGGACAATGTGCAGATTTGGCTTGGCAGGATAAAGCAACCAGGCTCCTCTTTAGACTCCTGAAGCTCTCTTGAGCACACAGGTAGGGGGCTTACCAACATGTTTATGAAAAGATGCCTATGGAGAGCTACACACACCTGACTCCCCTTGTGGCTCCTGTGGTCAGGAGACAGGTATTCTCTCAAACATGGTTCCCAAGGCAGAGTCCAGTTTAGCTGGATGGGATTGTCAGGGCTGGGGCAGGCAGGGAGTTGTGCCTTTGTCCACAGGGCATGCATATCCAGCTCTCAGAAACTCCTCCTGTCAACTGGGTGACAGCCTAGGACAAGCTGGCTCCTGGAGACTGGAATGGAAGGGGACCAGCCTGGCCCAGATGACATGAGGGCTGCATATCTCTGCTCTACCTCCTGGATGCGGGAGCCAGGCAAGCAGAGAACACAATAGCCATAGTCCTCACTCCATTTCTTTGGTTGTTTATCAAGACTTCAAGATAGTTTCTTTCCAAGGCTGACTGACCCATCACAGGGTGGCAGAACCATGAAGTGTCCAGCAGTAGAGAGTATGAACACAGCTGCCCCTTAGCCATAGATGGCACCCTTTTCACTCCCTCCTGAGGCATTCTTTGCTTTGGTGTAGAAAGGGCCCAAACATCTGGCAAGGGGACAGCTGGGGGAAAAGACACAGAAGCAAGAAGATGTACACTGAGCTGGGCAGGCACTGAAGGACAGCTTGAAGGCCTCTCTCTGTTGGGGCCTGTCTTTCTCAAGATGCCATGGAGAAACTGGCTGGGACAAGAAGTCAGGGGGGCAAGGGAAACTGCCAATTAAGAGGCAGAATACAAGTCCTATTACTTCCTCCAAGCAGCAGTGATAGCATATAAAGAAGTCCAAGGACCTAATATCGTATCCTCTTGTGAGCTGACAGTCACCCCAGAGCCCTCACAGAGACCCACTACAGAACCCAAACTGAGCTCCTAAGTCAAAAGTTGGGGAAAAAATAATTAAAACAACAGGAACAAATTAGAGGACTGGGACCAAGGACTCAGGAAAGCTGGGATAAGTTTACCCATAGATCACTTACTGCTCCCAGCATACACTTAGGCCATGTGGATCACTTTTACATGCTGGATGTTAACTTCCTATTAAAATATGAAGGCTCAGACTAGCCCCTACTGCCTCTGCTTGAGTGACGGGCAAGCTGCAGCAGGGCAGAGAGGTTCTGGATGATTGTGGGCAGAACCATGGGGAGGTGTAGAGCAAAAGCCTCCCTGCGATGAGGACTCTGTTGGAGGTTTGTGGCCAGTCTACAGCATGGGTGGGAGGAGAAGGGGAAGAAGATTTGGCAAAAACCCAAAGGAAACGTGTGGCTTCTGTCTGTCCCCGCACTGCGAGTCGCCCGGTTGCCCTCTGACACAGCCTTGGTTCATGGAAGTAAGCAACTATGAGACACCCCAATATCTGAGTCTATGCAAATTTAGGTCTGGATTAAAGGTTTCTGACATGAGAGGATCTGGGGTTCTGCTGCAAGCATTTTAATTTGGTTTTGTTGTTTTTTTTCTGATGCAGAATATCACAGGGAATTACAACAGAGCAGGGTGTCAGGCTGGGAAGGGATTTTCCCAGCCTGCCACCAAGAGACACTGGAAGGGAGATGCTCCTTCCAGGCATCTGGACCACTTGCATGGAGCTCCAGCCTCCTCCAGCACTCTGAAGAGCCTGGGGGCACTCACTGTCTCTGATTGTGCTTCTCCCTGTGGGTGGGAAAGCCATGAGGGAGTGGCAAGCAGACAGGGAGGGCTCTTAAAGGTGCTACTCTCCGCCGGTTTTTCCTGCACCCCACTCCCCTTGTTTCCCCCAGCCCAAGTCTCAGAAAGTACTTCCTTTGCCTGCTTCTAGGACTACCACCATGAAAAGAAGGGCTTCCGACTTTGAAAGCTCTGTGTGTAGGACTCGCTAGAAGACCGCTGGTGGGAACGGGCTGTCTCAACAATCACAGGTGGCATCTGGACGAGGTGCAAGGGACTCTTGTTGTCTTTCAAGGCCTGGGTCAGATTTAGGATCTGCAGTGGGAAAAAGGAGATAGGTGAGGGAAAGGCCTAGACATTCCAGGCCTGCCTCTGAAGGGAGACCAGCAGATAGAGTGCTCCTACAAATAACAACAAAAAAAGCACCAATGGAAAATCACACCAACAGACTATTTACAAAAGTAGAAATATAAATGGGCAATGAACAGAAAATGGAAATCTCACTAGTCATTTTAAGAACACAAATGAGGTTAGAGTGTGGTGCTGAAAACACCAAGCCTGGGATTCGATCCCTGTACTGGCCACCCCCCCGCCAAAATAAAAAAAAATAAAAACAAATGAAGACAAATATCTCCTATTTTTTTGCCTCTCTACTTAGTAAAGAAAAAACAGGAGAGGACTCAGAGTTGGGGAGAGTTCAAAGAAATAGGCACTCTCCTACATGGCTGTTGGGCTAGAACATAGGACAGTCTTTTTGATAGACAAGTTGACAATAAAAGCTTAAAAATGAGCAGATCTTCTGACTCAGCAATTCAATTTTTAAAGACTAAGAAAAAAATCATGGATACAACTGAAACCCTTAGTTTCGAAAAATACAATATAGTGTTGTTTACAACAGTGAAAATGATGTAAATTAAATTATTTAATAATTTAAGGGATGAAAACAAGCAAAATATATAGAAATAAATATATTGGCATGTAAGCTGATCATAATATTGTTAGATGGAAAAAAAGGAGAAAGGAACCAGTATTAGCTTGTGATCACCCCTTTATTTTCTAAAATTCTATATTCCTTTCTACCTATGTGCACAGAAAAAAAGTCTGGAAGTTGGCAATGGTCATCTCTGAGTCTCAAAGAATTAAAGGTGATTTTTAATTGTTTATTGTTGTTCATCCTCATTTTCTGATTTTCCTACAAAGACAATGTATTTAAAAAGCCAACATTTCAAGTTGGATTCTCCCTCCAACACTGTCCCTTTATCTTTTTTTTTTTTTTTTTTTAAAGATGACCGGTAAGGGGATCTTAACCCTTGACTTGGTGTTGTCAGCACCACACTCTCCCAAGTGAGCCACAGGCCAGCTCTTTTTTTTTTTTTAAATAAAATTTTTACTTTGGAATAATTTAGAATTGCAGAAAAGTTGCAAAGATAATACACAAATGTATAAGATTTGCCCAGTTTCTCCTCATTTTAATATCTTACATGACCATGGTACATTTACCAAAACTAAGAAATTAACACTGGTATATTACTATTAAATAAACTCCAGAGTTAATTCTGATTTCATTAGCTTTTCCAATAATGTCCTCCTTCTGTTCCAGGAACCATCCAGGATACACATTACATTTAGCTCCTCACTATCTTTTGCCAGTATTTTATACATATTTCATATGTGTCCATGAGGACACATTTTCTTTGTCAAAATTAGAATCAGTCCTATTTATCATCTCTGGTAGGACAGTACAAAAGCTGAAGTTGTCCTGTCTTCTTTAACCCATTAGATGTTGGAAGATTTTCACAGCCAGGCCATAGACACATGGGAGAGTAAGGCAGGCTGCACCCCAAAATCACACAGATACACAGCCCTCAAGCCACAAATATGCTCTGGCCCACAACTGCTGCTGCCCATAAAGAGGCAGAGATACACCTCCAACAGAGGTCAGAAGTCAGATCTGGATCCTACCAGTAATTAATTCCTTTCTTACTTAATTTTTTTGGTACTTGTCAGCATCCTACACTGTTGCAAATATCCTCGAGCACAAGATCAGGGTAGAGAACTGAACAATTCAAATGGAACTGGAACTGGAATGTGCAGATATCACCCAACTGAAGAGACAGGATTTTAAACCTGCCCTGGCTGGGTCTTCCTGTGCTTTCTTTGGTTATTTGGGTTAGAAGCTTTCTCTCATGAGTGAAGTCTTTGGGGTAAAATGTCAAGTAGACAACTTTCAAAAGATTTGGAAAAAAAAAAAGAAATTACAGTCGTGTAATACATAATGACGTTTTGGTCAACAACAGACTGCATATATACAAAGGTGGTCCCTTAGATTATAATGGAGCTGAAAAATTCTCACCACCTAGTGACCTCATAGCTGTAGTGACATGATAGCACAACACATTATTCATGTCTGTGGTGATGCTGGTGTAAACAAACTTACTGTGCTGTCAGTTGTATAAAAGTATAGTACATACACAATTACATACATTACATAATACTTGATAATGAGAATAAACGACGACATTACTGGTTTATGTATTTACTATACTATACTTTTTATCACTATTTTAGAGTATGCTCCTACATATTAAAAAGAAAATTAACTGTAAAATAGCCTCAGACAGGTCCCTCTGGAGGTATTCTAGAAGGAATTTTTTTTTTTTTTTTTTGGCAGCTGGCTTGTACAGGGACAGGGATCAAACCCCAGGCGTTGATGTTGGTGTTATCGGCACCATGTTCTAACCAAATGAGCTAACTGGCCACACCTTCGAATTGTTATCACAGGAGATGACAGCTCCATATGTGTTATTGCCCCTGAAGACTTTCCAGTGAGACAAGATGTGAAGTGGAAGACAGTGATATCAATGATCCTGACCCTGTGTAGGCCTAGCCTATTGTGTGTGTTTGTGTCTTAGTTTTTAACAAACAAAAGTTTTAAAAGTAAAAAAAAAAAGAATTAAAAATTTTAAAAACAGAAAAAACTTATAGAAGAATACAAAAAAAGAAAATATTTTTGTATAGCTATACCATGTGTTTGTGTTTTTAAGCTAAGTGTTATTATAAAAGAGTTGAAAGTTTTTTTTTAAAGTTTATAAAGTAAAAAATTACAGTAAGCAAAGGTTAATTTATTATCGAAAAAGGAAAAAAAAATTATCATTTAGTACAGCCTAAGTGTACAGTGATGTCCTAGGCCTTCACATTCACTCACCACTTGCTCAGTGACTCACCCAGAGCAACTTCCAGTCTTGCAAGCTCCAATCATGGTAAGTGCCCTGTACAGGTGTACCATTGTTTATCTTTTATACTGTATTTTTAGTGCACCTTTTCTATGTTTAGATACACAAATACTTACTATTGTGTTACATTTGCCTACAATATTCAGTACAGTAACATGCTGCACAGGCTGATAGCATATCCACGTAGCCTCGCTGTGCTATAGGCTATGCCATCTAGGTTTATGTAAATACACTCTATGATGTTTGGACAGCAACAAAATTGACTAATGACACATTTCTCAGAACATATCCCTGTTATTAATTGACACATGACTGTATATAGAGATAAATATTATTAAGATACATGGATACAGTACAGAGATATGAGGTAAACATGGCTATATGTAACAATCAGTGAATGTAAGAGAATATCCCACTGAGGCTTAAAAATTTTCAGATTCAAAAGTTGAAGAAAAATGTATAGCAGCACATAATGCTAAAGAATAAATACTGTCTTTGAAAATGTTATTTTACTTTATTTATTTATTTATTGGTGGCTGGCCAGAAACAGGGCTCGAACCCTGGACCTTGGTGTTACCCACACTATGCTCTAACCAACTGAGCTAACTGGCCAGCCTGTAAAAATGTTAAAGAGGCTTTCTCTCGGACCCTAAATTCTTTTTAAGAAGTCTATTTTAATTACCTATACAAAAAGAAAACTGGTATATTACACACTTGGGAATTTTAATATTAGTATCAAACATACAATTTAATGTGTACCATAATTGTCCTAATAGAATCACAGTTATGCCAAATAAAAAACAATACAATTTTATATTTTTTATAATATAAAAATATTTTTATAATATTAAAATGTAATATAAAGAACAATATTATATTGCTTAGTCCTTTAAAATAATGAAGTAAAGTGATTTATATAAAGTAGCTTGATTAAACAGTTGTATTAGAATCATAGGAAAACAATTATTTTAGAACTGGAAGAAACCTTAGAGACCAAACCCATTCTTTGCAAGACTAAAATATGCATTGCATTATCTTTGGGTAATGTTTGAAATGCCTTAAGTAAGATATTACAGACCACTCTAGAACTACTTAAGGATAGGGATTATGTCGGACCCTAGATTCTTTATCTAACTCTTGGTTAGAAGCCTTTACGTTGAGGAATAACTTTTATTACCTGACTCTTGTACCTCTGGGGACTCTTTACTTATGGGGACTTTGGCTCAGGGCCCTTGTACAGCCCACTTTGTGATTACAGCTCATCTAGGTAGACAGGCTTATGTCCTTTTTCCCTGTGCTATGTCAGACTTCTGTAGGGCAGAGGCTCATTTTGCTTTTGTGTGTGAATGGTAGACAAATAAGGATGTGAATGATATACTGACCACCTGCATGTTGGGAGGAACCGGATGCTCATGGACTCTTAAGGCATTAGGAGTTAAACACTCTAGATTATAAGATGCCAAAAGCCCCTCTGAAGACATTAAGAGAACAAGATGGAGAGAAAGATAAAACTGCATTCCCCCCAACCTCCCCTACCTTTTGCATCCTGGATAATGGCCCTAAGTGGGTGTAATGGGAGGAGGGTTGCTATGATGTTGGCAAGGAACTGAACTGGGAAGGGATTAGAGAAGACAGTACAGTTTGGACAGAGGCACAGCCTATATAACCTTGGGAAGCAAATTTATTCCTTTATGTTGAGTTTCATAATGCCAGAGTACATCATGTGGCTTTTAAGGTTCCCAAAAATTTTGCCAGCCTAATTGGGCCCTTAAATTACTTGGGAAATTTAGGAAGACCACATTTCTATTATTTGGACAGCTATAATAACTACAGCTCTTAAAACCTCTGTCCATCTCATTTTCAGGGAAAAATGGGCTCAGCAAGCCCAAAAGGTTTTCTCACCAGAAGCCTTTAGCTAAATGGTAGGAAGAAGTAAATGTATAATTATGGCTGGGAAGACCCTTTTGTCCTTTAAAGATGTGAGAAGCTGACTGTTCTGTATATAAAATCATAATCATAATAGCTATCACGTATTGAGAGCTTCAACACACCAGGAACTACTCCTGTTTCAAATCATTTATCTCATAATAACCCCTGTGAGGCAAGTACTATTATTAATCCCATAATACAAGTGGGGAAACTAAGGGAAGGAGAAATTAAGTAATTTGCCCAAGACCTCACAGGTAGTAAACAGCAGAGCCAGGCTTCAAACCCAGGCACTCTGTCCATAGTTTGTGCCCTTAACTGCCAGGCCATCCCACCTCTCTTTAATAAGACTTCAAAGTGATAAGCTTGATGCCAGTGCCCTATAGAGTTTTTGAACCATTTTCCAAGCATATTCTTTACTATACTTTGAAAGATAGATAATGTCCTGGGTTTCCGTAGCTCCCTTTGAAGGTGAAATAGAAGGAGAAGAAATACTACAACTCATATCTGTAACAAAAAATTAACACCACGGTCACAGATTAGATTCCCCACACTGGCCAGACACCAAAAAAAAAAAAATTTATAACAACAAAATTATAACCATAGTCAGTATCTAGGTGCTTACCATGTGCCAGACATTGTTTTTACTAAATGCTTGATAAGTATTATCTCATGCAGTCCTCCAGACAACTGTGCAAAGTATTATTACTCTATTTTTTTTTTTTTTTAAAGATGACTGGTAAGGGGATCCGAACCCGTGGCCTTGGTGTTATCAGCACCACACTCTCCCAAGTGAGCCACGGGCTGCCCCAACTTTCCTATTTTATAAAAAAGGAAACAGACGCTCTTGCCCAAGGCCATGGAGCTTGTAAGTGGTGAAGCAATCTTACTCCAAAGCCCAGATCTTAACCACCAATGCATACAGCCTGCCTTGAGCAATTTGAGGACAGGAAGCACTGGTTTATTTACCAATCAATTACCCAGAAATTGGCACAGAGGTAAGCACATAGTAAGTGTTTCACCAAGCACTGGATACCATGGAAGAGGTGGGAGATTTGAGAGAGCTATCTTTCCTCTCCTTTGTGTTGAAGCAGAGTCATAAATATGTATGACAGAGTGAAAAGGGTGTAAAACACAAGCTTTAGATGACATTTGCTCAATATGAGCACATAACCATCCCAGAGAGATCCCAAACAGACACCTGGAGGATGTCCCAAGCTTACCTGTCCCCGCATGACGGCAATTTGCTTATGGAACTGGCCCCTGTCAAAACCAGGATCTTTCTGCAAAAGAAAGGCAGAAGGAGATGGAACCTGTGTGAATGCCTCACAGGAACCTATTCTCTCTCCTAGTTGGAAGATTTCTAATAAAGAAAACCTCCATTAGGCTTATGAGGCTTAGTGAAGTCAGCTACCATCCCAAGAATCCCTGCTTTACAGATGGGGAAACAGAGAACAAATGAATATCTTATTCTCCATCTCAAACTCTAGTCTCCAGTGCTTCATTTGAAAATGAGAGTTCTGCAGATACACTGCAGCCACATGACACACGGGATACACACCAGTGTGATCCTACCTGCCCATTTCTTTCAAACCCATTCAAACCAGGTCCTGCTGTCCACACATGGGGATCTTGCTCTTCATTGGCTAACTCAAGTCAGAAGGGTGTTAATCATTTCCTACTGGCTTGTGTCAAGACCAATTAGAAACCATTAGGAACTGTTGCTTCTATATGGGAATAAGGCTGAGGTTCCCAGGGCTAACCTTGAAGAGTTCATATAGGTCCTCCTCCAAGTCCTTGATGAAATTAGGGTCCGATATCTTTGGAAGAATCAGATCCTTGATCTCCTGAGAGAACGGGACTTTGGCCTGAGGCAACCAGGCCCAGTAAAAAGGATCTGAAAAGAGAAAAGGCCAAAAAGCAAAGCTGGTGTTGAAAAAGTCCCTGTCCGTCTGTGTCCTCTACCTATAGGGCACTTTCAAAGGAAGAACTCTTCTCCCTGACATACAACAGAAAAGAAAACTTGCAAATGCTGTTAATCATAAAGTTTATACAGCTAGAAATGGAGGAACCAGAATTCAAACACAGATCTGCCTAACCCCAGAGCTCCTTCTCAGATATTGCAAGATCTTCCAAGATGAAAGCCTATCTAGAGGCAACTACTTGCCACTGAGACACTGAGATGGTCCATCTGAAAAGGAAGACTAGTGCTGCAAAAGGGGCTAGTCACTCCCTACTTGCATTTCTTCTATGTTTCTCAGTTATAACGGGGTAGGAAATGTCAACAAAGAAGACAGAACAGTTAGAGCAGCTTATATTTAGAGACACACATAGAATAAATTATAAAAAGACAGTCCTCAGAAACAATGAGAAGAATGCAAAGTGGAGATGCAAAAACTCATCTTTATGCTTCTAATTTCTAATCACCTTTATGCTTCTAATGGGAGTAATGTGAAGTAAAAATTATAACAATGGCCTACACTATGGAATAGTTGCCATGTGACAACCATTGTGTTAAAGTGCCTGGCCTGCATTACTGCATTAATTCGTAGAACAATCCTATGAGAGAGGTATTACTATCTCCATTGCACAGTGAGAAAACAGACTGAGTATGAGAAGAGCCAGACCACAGTGGTCTTGAGACTTACATGCCCTCCAGGAGTCAGGATGCTTCAGCGGGAAGGCCAGCCCATTGTCTATGGCAGCCACCTTGATGACAGGCTCCTTCACCACCACCCAGTCTGTGTCCTGAACAGCAAGGAAAGACTACTTACTGAGGCAAAGCAACCTATCTTAACCAACCCTTATTCAATTTATTTTGAGCGCCCTTCTGAAATACTTTCCATGTTGTTATCAGAACTTAGTACATTTATGGCACCTCTGACCTGGCTTGTTCAAGGATCTCAGAGTCCCTTTCTTATCTTAGAAAATGTGCACTTCCCCAGGAGTTGGATAAGACAATAATAAAAAAGGAAAGGAGATAAGAATCCTGTGAGTAGAAAAGAAGAAATAAAAATCTGCCTCAATTGGCTGAGGTCCTTTTTTGTGGACCTTGACTCAGGTACCACTTCACTGGTGATGATATTTTCCAGTGAGAAAACAGAACCATGGAAGCTGACAGTTGGCTGCTCTTGCACAAGGGAATCTCTTTTACTTCAGTGATACAAAAAAAGGAAAAGGATAAGAGCCAAATAGAAAGAGTGGGCAGGTCACCTGTGAGAGTCCCTGTCAGGGACACTCACTGATTACATAGCTCCATGCTTCAGGTTCACTGGTGACATCACAGGAACAAAAACTGTGGTTCCAGGACACCTGCATTAGAATCCCCTGGGATACCTTATTAAAATCATGGAATCCTGAGTTATGCCCCAGACCTGATCAATCAACTGATGGGGGAAAGATCTGAAGAATCTGTACTATTTTTAATAAGCTCTTCAGATGATTCAGGCACAAAATTTAAAAGCCACTATTAGAGAAGAAAGTAAAAACACTATAAGGAATAAAAAACAACCTCACTCTTCTCCAAGTAGCCTTCCTGCTGATTTTTTTAAAAAACACACACTCTGAGCAGAAATAGAGAAGAGTGGTGGAGGATGAAGAGAATGAGAGAGTAAAGAAAGCTGCAGGAGCAGCTCTTCCTAAACTTACGTTCTATGGAATCATGGTTGTAAGACAAGTGCCCCAAGGTTAAAAAAGTATAGAAATCACTGTGCCAAATGAAATTAAACAGGTTCACTTAATGCAGTACTTTTCAGACCTTACTATGCTCTTGTGCAATGTGAAGATCAAAGAAAGGAACAGAGTGTGTAATATCACCCAAACTTTTTTTTTTTCCTTTTTTTCGTCTTTTTTCATGACCGGTAACGGGATCGCAACCCTCAGTGTCGCGCCCGTACCGCAACCGGCAACAGGATCGCAACCCTCGGTGTCGCGCCCGCACCGCGCTCAACCAGTGAGCGGACTGGTCTCTATATGGGATCCGAACCCTCAGCAGGAGCGCTGCCGCGCTCCCAAGCACCGCACTCTACCGAGTACGCCACCGGGCCGGCCCAATATCACCCAAACTTACTTGAACTTTTTTTTTTTTTTGGCAGCTGGATAGTACAGGGATCGAATCCTGGATGTTAGTGTTTTGAGCACCATGCTCTAACCAACTGAGCTAACCAGCCAGCCCATCTGACCTCTTCTTTACACTATTCCTATTAACATCAGTCAGTAGAATATTCCTTAAAATACAGACTGAGAAAAACTATACCAAATATTAACCTATTAATTTTAAACACATGTGCTTCCCTGATTTTTCTGAACTTACGTGACCTAAATCTTGACCATTTTACGTGATTCTATATTACGCAGATACTACTCATCCTTTTCTTCAAAGCATACATCAATCTCTTACCCGAGAGCTAGAACTATCCATTGGACAGTCATATTTAATCAGCCAGTTGTCATTGCCTCGATCTGAGAAAAGAAATAATAAAGTTAATAGAAAAATTTGGGGTGACTTTCAATTTTAGTAATGGTGTACTACATATTTTGGACACTTGAACCAATCCTTCTATGGAGAATGACTATGAAAGCTCAATAAAATATTTTTAAATCTCTTGAAGCACTGAAGATTTTAACAAGACCTTAAAGAATTTGAGTCAAGATCTGGGAGAGCATGGAAATCCAAAGAGCCCAGCATTTGTGGCTCCTTTTCCCCAACAGCATTTGCTGATTTGGGAAGAAGTGGCTAAAAGGTTGAGAGGGGGGATAGTGTTCTAGTAGCCTTGTGGAGTTAAAGACAAAAGCTGCAATACACTGACTAGACAGGGGCGAGGAGACCCGAGGAAATTACCCATGCTTTGGGTTGAGACCCGAAGAGCTACACCCTGGAATTAAGCCAAGCTACCCCTCAACACTTGAAATTAAAATGATCCTGGATTGCTAGTGCCCTGGCTGTTTGCCAGAGCAAGCTTCCTCCTCCAGGCAGCATTTATATAAGCATCCTAGGCCTTTAAATAGTTCTACAATTTCTCATGACAATATCTGACAATCAAAAATCAGGTACGTAGGGCTGGCCCATGGCTCACTTGGGAGAGTGTAGTGCTGACAACAAGTCAAGGGTTAAGATCCCCTTACCAGTCATCTTTTAAAAAAAAAAAATCAGGTACACAAAGAGACAAGATGACAAAAAAAGAAACAAAAGAAAATTAAAACATATCTAAAGTAGCTCCAAACAATGGAAATATCTTATATATACTTTAAAATGTTCAAGATAAAATCCTTAATATGTTTAAGAGGATAAAAGTCAAGATTAAGAATATCAGCAGAAAATAAGAATCTATAAAAATTAATCAAATAGAAATTCTTGAACTCAATAAATACAATTACTGAAATTAAAACTCAACTGATGAGTTTAACAACAAATCACACTGAAGAGAGAAGTAGTGATTCAGAAAACAGGTCACAAGAAAATAGCTAGAATGAAGCACAAAGGGAAAAAGGATATATACACAGATGTACCTAACATCATGTAATTGGAGTCCCCAAAGGAGAGGAGAGGAAAAAATGAATCAAAAGTAATATTTAAAGAGATAATATCTGGGCCGGCCTGTGGCTCACTTGGGAGAGTGTGGTGCTGATAACACCAAGGCCACAGGTTCGGATCCCTATATAGGGATGGCCAGTTAGCTCACTTGGGAGAGCCTGGTGCTGACAACACCAAGTCAAGGGTTAAGATCCCCTTACCAGTCATCCTTAAAAAAAAAAAAAGATAATATCTAAGACTTTTCCAAAATTGACAAAAGATAAACTGTGGACTCAAGAAGCCCTATGAATCCCTAAAAGGATAAATACAAAGAAAAATACACCTAAGCATATCATAGTCAAAATCCTGAAAGCCAAAGAGAGGGAAAATGTTAAAAGGAGCTAGAGAAAAGGAGAGATTACCTTCAAAGCAGCAATAATAATACTGACAATTGACATCTCCACAGGAACCACAGGAACAAGAAGACAATGGAATTTTAAACCACTGAAAAAAAAGAACTGCCAAGCCTTCTACACCCAGCAAAAATATCCTTCAAAAATGAAGGTGAAAAAAAGACAATCTCAAACAAAAGTGGAGCATTCATCAGCAGCAGACTAGTGCTAAAATATTCTCCAAGTCAGAAGAAAACTATCCCAAATAGAAGCTTGGAGATGCAGGAAGAAATAAAGAACAATAAAATGTAAATACGTTAGTAAATCGAGGTAAATATTGTTAGTTTTGTTTAGGTGTGTTAGTAGCATAATTTTTTTTTTAACAAAAATTTACCTTATACTGAAATAATTATGAATAAAATTATATCTGGGATTTGCTTCAAAATAATAAAAGGAGGAGGTAAGTAAATGGAAGTGTGAAATGAGACTGGATTGGTCGTGTATTGATGGTTGTTGGGGTTGGCATGACCAACTGGTCATCCAGTTCATGCAGGTTCATTATTTGCTTATTTATGTATGTTCAAAAGTCTCCACAATTAAAAGTTTATTAATAATAGTCATAATAAAAATGAAAAAGGAAATAACAGTAATAATAACGATGACAATATTGTCTTTAAAGTTTTAAATAAATGTGTTTATAAATACATATATACACATATAAACATATATGTATGTATACATATATAATTAAAACCCATGACATTAATAGTATAAGAGTCTGGAGATGGGTAAATGGAGTTTCTGAGATCTTTGCATTGTCCAAGAAAGTAGTAAAAGTACCAATATTTTAAGGTTAAAATTAGGGAAATCAAGAATTCATATGGTAGTCTTTAGGGTAAACAACAAAAGAAAAGACAAAGAATATACAACTTCCAAGCTAAAAGAAGGGGGAAATGAAATAATTATAAAATAATTCAAAAGAAACCAAGAAAAGAAAGGAGAAAAAAGATCATAAACAGAAAGGGAGAAAAAACCATAAAATAGTTAAAAACATAAAAAGCAAAGAATAAGATGGTAGATACAAATCCAAATATATCTAAAATAACATTACAGATAATTGAACTAAATGCTCTAATTAAAATATAACAATTGTCTTGCTGGATAAATAAAACCCAACTACCTGCTTACAAGTGATGCATCTAAAAGTATAAGGATATAGAAAGGTTGAAAGGATTAATAAAACATTATAAAAGACATATAATACAAAAAGTTAATGGAAGCTGATGATCCTAAGTTAATATCAGATAAAGTAGACTTTGAAAGGCAAAAAGCATTACCAATAATAAAGAAAGATTCTTCATAATAGTAAACGGTACAACTGACCAAGAAGATATAATACTTACAAATTTCTATGTACCTAATATCAAAGCCTCAAAATAAGTAAAGAGAAACAAAGCCACATCCACAATGGGAAACGTTAATATAACTTCTTTCTTGAACCGACAACCAGGGGAAAAAAAGAGAGAGAGAGAGAGAGAGAAGATTTGAACAATACAATTGACAGACAACCTAACTGACATATATAGAACACTGCACCTAACAACTGCAAAATACACATACCTCTCAAGCACACATAAAGCATTTACAAAAAATGACTACAGGCCAAGCCATAAATCAAGTCTCAACAAATTTCAAAGTACTAAATTATATCTTCTTTGACCATGGTATAATTAAGGTAGAAATTAAAAGAAAATAAACAAAAAACTAAAAAATTCATATATGCATAGAAATTAAGAAATATTCTTTCAGGCCAGCCAGTGGCTCACTGGGGAGAGTGTGGTGCTAACAAAACCAAGTCAAGGATTAAGATCCAGTTACAGGTCATCTTTAAAAAAAAAAAAAAAGAAATATTTTTTTAATCCCTACATATTGCTATGGAGTGTTCCCTAGAATGTACTGTTAGATGAAAAAAGCAAAGTACAGAACAGTTTGTATAGTATGCTACCTTTAATAGAGAGGTTTGTTGCAAAACACAGCTTATTTGCTTTTAAATATATATATATATTTTTATTTATTAATATTATATTTTTACATTCTATGATGTTTTTGTGGAGCAGTTGAGGGGGAGGGGGAGTGAGGAAGGGGGAAGGAAATAAGATGAGAGAAGTAGGAGGAGGGAGGGCTTTCTTGAGGACATGGCACCCCCATCATTCTGGCAGGGGAGACCAGGGAGTTTCGGAGGCAGCTTGGTGGTCACTGCTGGGCTGGTTGCGAATGTCAGGTGGGCTTGGCTCAGAGGCTTCCTTCAATGGCTTGGTGCTCAATGCTGGGCTGGGTGTGGTCATGGGGGGGGCATGGCTGAGGCCCACTGCCATCTCCCCTCCCTAGCTTGGGAGCCCAGGGGGCTTCTAGTCCTTCTAGGTTTTATAGGTATTCTTTGGTGGTGTCAGACCTTTACCAGTTAATATCAGACTTTGTCTCTGATCTATAGGTATTTTGTTTTTTCTTTCAGTTCTGTGTTGGATTATTTGCTGTTCCCACCACTTAAACTCTGCACTGGAACTAATTTGTTGTCCTTTGCTTACTTCTAAAACGGGGGAACTTCCTGTGGGGATCAACACTTGACCCTGTGGTTGAGCTAAATTGCTCCTTTGCTGCTGATTCCCTGGGGAAGGCATTTTGTGCAGCTCAGGTTTTAATGGTTGGCCTTGTATGTAATTTTCGGTCTCATGAGGTCCAGTACACCTGGGCTGTGTGGAAATTCTGGTCTGGGCCTGAATCTTTTCAGCAAACTGCACCCCCTGCAGTTCTGTATTCCTGACCAGTCACCACTGCATGGTCCTGTGCTGACTGGGGGGAAGATCAGCTGTCCATGCTGTGCCCCAATATTTCCCCAATGGCCAGTCTCCCCAACCCCCTGCATTCCAAACACTTCCCATGGGGCCGATTGTGTGCTGGTTGCTTGTGATGATTCACCAGCTTCTCATTGGCTCCTTTTTTCTGTTGTCTGTGGCTCCTTGCTCCTGTGTGGGTCCACAGAAACCCTGTTAGTGCTCTTGCTGGCCTGGGAGCCACCAAGGCCCTCTTCTCCCCTGCCTCCTCCAAGCAACTTCATACAAAGGGCATAGCTGCAGCTTTTGCCAGTTCTTGCTCCGTGAAACTTTGAGGCAGCAGGGGCTCAAAATGGTGGAAGCAATCCTTTCTTTCTCTCATCATGGCTTCTCCTGCCTTCATGAACTCCATAGTTCTCTCCTCCTCTTCCCCTGAGTTCTAGTGTCCCCAGCTTGGCTGTCATTGGTTTTTAATAGTTGTAAATTGGTTGATTTGTGGGAGAGTGATGCTAGGGACTGTTTATTCTGCTATCTTGACCAGAAGCCCATATATATAATTTTTTTTTAACAAAAGGACAACACAAGTACTAATAAAAATGGTTACCTATGGGAGAAAAGTATGCAACAGCTTGGAGGGGATGAGGATAAAAGAGAGACTTCCAATGTACCTTGTTTTATAGTTTTGACTTTGGAATTTAAATGTTTTACACAATTATTTTTAAAACT